ATCTTTCCCTGTCCAGTGTGGAGTGGCTTAGTTTCTGTAGACTAGCTCCGCACCAAACTACTATATCATCTACCCATTCTCTGTGGAGTCTGCCTCTCTTATTCGGCCCATCCATTATGCCAAATACCAGGGTCTTAACGTTTTGCTCATTGTTCTTTCTGCAGATATGCCCAAATAGCTGTAAATTCCGTTGTATAACCTTCTGCAGTAGGTTCTCTTTCAGCTGTATCTTCCTATATAATTACTCATTGGTGACCTTCTGCATCCATCCTATTCTCAGGATCTTTCTATAATAACTCCTCTTGAACACCAATATCCTTCTCTTATAACTATTGAATAATCTATATATTTTAGAAATGTGCATCTGTCTGTTTGTGAGTCCATTCTTCAACAACTCCTCCTCAATGCTTGGAGCTAGAACTACCAAATTTGGCATACAGCTTCCTTTTCTCTTAAGGCAAGGTCAGGGTTTAGTTGTGCCAGGAAAACAGGATCTGCCTGGAATGCGATTGTTTTCTATAACATGGAAAGGGAGGATGCTGACAGGATGGACAGTGATACTGCAGAGTGATCACTGGAGGCAGCCACATCACTGAGAGCTGTGGCCAGGGCACATCATCTTGCTGGCCATAGGATCAGATAAATAGCCCCCACACCTTCCCTTCCACTGGGCCCTTGGCTGAAGTGCTGGAGTGGGGTGAGAGGAGGAAGACCTGCTGACAAGCAGTCCTGCTCTTCCCCTGCACTACCACACCAACTGCCCTGGGAGAAGCCAGAGGATGGGTGCACAGCCCTTACTATACTGGGAAGAAGCCAGCGGGAGGGGTGTGTGATCCTCACTGCCCCAAGCTGTTCCCTGGGAGAAATCATTGGCCATCCTCACCCCTTGTCCTGAGCCCCTTTCCTGAACTCCCCCTCCTCCCAACCCTTTGCCCTATTTCCTGCACTACCACCCCCTGCCCTGGGACTCTTTTGCACCTGCTGCCCTAACTTCTGCACCCCACCAACCACTACCCTCAGCCTTGTCTCACCCCCCAATCCTCACTCTCACACCTCCAGGGCCCTTCTCTGAGCCCCTCCTCAACCCCCCCACCCTGACTCCTGCACCTCATACACCACCAGCCCTTTGCCCTGCAGGAGCCGAGCAATGCCAGGTAAGTCTTCTAGTCATTATACTATTCTTATCTGTGTGAACTTCCAAAATTTCAATTTTAAAGATTCAGAATTTCTGGAAGGTTTGTTCAACTATAGAAACCTCTAGGGAGTCATTTTAATTCTTAACATGTTAACTTCAAATTACCATTGTCAGTCACAAAGGAGCACAGCCATCATCAGCTGACTGATACCATCTGCCTTTGCCAGGTCCTCCACATCTCCTACAACTTAGGCTGGAGCTTGTGTTCTTGCTCTCCATGTGCTAGGTGAAATGTTAATCTTGTTCTTGCATTTACAACAAGTGCTGTTAATGGGATCATTGATGCATTTTGTTTTAGTGAAAATTTAACATTTAGTTTCTTTAAATAATAAGAAAACCCTTTAATTCATTGGCTACATATTATGAATAATAGTCTATCCAAACTACAACTTAATCACACTGCATCTCAGTTTAATCAAGCTCTGTCATGCCCCACATTTAGTGCAATCGTATATATCATCTTTAGTAAATGACTTAATTTTTCATTCACGTTTATGGTACTTGCAAAACAATGTAATCTTCAGTAAGTTGGCACATTGGAAGAATTCAAGTTCTTATCTCAGTCTGAAATTGTTAATAAACAGCCTTCTATTGAACTTTTAAATTCCATAAAATTAAAATATATGTAAATGTGAAATTTCATATTCCTTTGCTTTTTTCCCCTGAATGCTTGTATTTGCTAGCAACATTGAAACAATCTTATATTTCATATTGTACATAGTGTTATATACCATAGGGGCTCTTTGACTCCTTTTTCATGTCACAACTGAAATTACCCTGTACTGGCAAGTTCAGGCATCTACCATATAGACACCAACATCCATCCACATAATGGGATTCTTGTTTCCAAACTAAGGTAGCTTGCTGATGTGAATAAACAATATGACACAGACTGATACTGGTTTTATTAGCACATTGTATGTGGTCCTGCACTTTATGTAGTAATACCTTGACATGAATAGTTGCTCTAAATAGGTAATGCTACTATTTAATGTATTGATTGAAACAGGATATTTAGAGTGAGAGTGTGTAGACCTCATTTAGAGAGTGTGATGAACAGAGTGAACATGTACTTATCTTGCAGCTACATTTCTGGGGGCATGGATTTGGCAGAGTAAATGTAAATAACTAAGCTGCTAACACACCGGAACCTGTTTTCTTTTATCTCCCTCCCTAAGCTGCACTTGAATCTTTCCCACCTGTCTAGAACTCCCTAACTGTACTCATCTTTTCCTCTCATTCCTCTCTAGCCTTAATGAGTAAGTCATCTCTTCTACCTGCCTCCTCAGAAGTTTCCTCCCGCTGAATGTGTAGCTCTCATGTTTGCCGGAAAAGGGAAACTATAAGCACCAGCACGCTTGATGTTGGATGTCCTGCAGAATATCAATGCAATTAAAGCACCCAAGTGGGAACACAATGTATGGATGATAGTGCATAGTGAGCCTTAAGCTTGCCAACTTTCCAAATTCCAATTGAAATCAATGGGAGTTGGAGAGGGACTCAGCCCCACCAAACAATCTGGCACATAATTGCCTAAAATAGGTTCCTAATTTTAGATATCAGGTTTGCAAATGTTAGCCTTCCCATACCATTTTAATAGCTTCAATACCTAGTAGATGGGGATTGCAGTAGTTAACAAAGCTGTTCCTATGGAAGTAGATGGAAGTTTTTCCATTAGATCCAAAAGGAAGCTCCTTGAGGCTTTCAGTGTTTTTAGAAATAAGACAAGAAAAACAGTGTGCAATAAACAGTTCTAGTGAATTATAATTCCATATGGCCCTAAATCAGGAACACGCCTTTAGTCAGGAAAGTACTTAAGTACATGCTTCATTTTAAACATATGCTATGGAACTTACATACATGGATTTCCAGTGGACCTTCTTGGGGAAGTCAGTCAGTGTTAGTATGGTTCTGCAGAATTAATAGGATAACTCTTTACAAGATAACATGCTTATTATGTCTCTCTTTACAAGTCCTGCAGGATTTGCGCTGCACAGAGCTCTATGAATCCCTCTGCAGATCTGCTGATTTTTAGGAGCCAAAGCTCCTGGCTGTTCTATGGAAAAAGATCAGAGAACTTCAGGCATGGAAATTCACTTAAGTTGTTTTAGACATGGAGTAAAATATAACCTATGGTCTCTCTTTCTGGTTCATGGTCAATACTATACTGAATGCTTTACTGAGCTTTTGGGTAACATATTGGTGAGGGCCCTGGGTCTCTTAAATTTGCTCCCCTGCCTTGGTCTGAAATAACCAGAACTGGGTGAGCTTCCAGGCATGATACATAAATAAGGCACTTGTTTGACAAGGTTTCTGAAGAAGGTTTTTCACTATGTTTTTGAAATAATGGAGGTGGAAAAGAGCTTTTTTTTCAGATGGTTGGCTGGCTGAGTTAATTTGTTCCTGTTTGATTTTTAACATTGCCTGGTGTATTACATTGTTGAAAGATTAATTGTCAGGGGGCCTAGAGGTCTTTTGTAGGCATTTTTATTTTACTATTATTTTTTCTTTATATTTAAATAACTGAAATAAAATTGTATTAGCACTGAAGTGAGAGATGGGGGCTAAAGTCAATGATTTGATTTTAAAGGCTGGCATCACCTCATTTAGTAACATATTTTCTATATTTTGACAGGCTACTGAATGTTAATTTATAAAACCTCTCCATAGTGCCACAAAACTACTTCTAACAAAAAGTCTGAGCAGCCATTAGAGACCTATGCTACATCCACTATAAGCAATTTCTCTTTTTCAGATTCAGTAGCCACTGCCATGGTCCAAGGAAGTTCGAGTATTGGTGTCCCCTGGAACTTAGAGGGGCCCAGTGTTTCTGGCATTACAGAGCTTACTCCCATTAGGTGGTGAACATCCTGTGCTGTGGAAGAGACATAAGACATACTGAAAAAAGTCATGTTTACTCTGGAATTCCATATGGGGAATTATATTAGTAGAGCTATAGCTGATCAATCTCCCTGAGCCCCCAAGGCTTCTTGATTTTGAGGATACAATATCTGGGTTTGTGGCTACAATTTTGTCAGGATCCAGGAGCCAAATATGGATTTTTATGATGCAGTTGTATATGGAGGTCTGAGGCCTTTTGGTGTAATAAGAACAATTCATCTTGCTCTGTATATAAGCACTGAAATTTTTGAACTTGGGTGACAAATTGGCTATATCAGCAGTGCACGTTGCCAGGTGTTTTATTTTTGGGGTGTTTTTTTGGGGAAGGGGGGCATGATGTTGTGCCAGGATGCATCAGAAAGCAGGTGGCTTGGTTTTGTTTTGGGGTGTAAGAGGCCTAGCTCCACCTATGTTCTACTTATGCTGTAAAAGTAGAGGATTTGCGCAAAACAATGGCTGTATGTAGCTGGCAGGATTCAGGTGGAAGTTCGAGGGCATCCAAACCACCCTTGTGCCCACATGTACAATTTTTATTACTGCAGTAGGAGCAACTCCACCTCAGTTAGGTTTTGGAATCTGGGGGGCAGCTGCCCAAAAAGAGGAGATCCAGTAAGACAGCGGGTTTGCACCAGCCTTTGGGACTGCCTGTGCCACGGGCCAGTGCTTTTTCTGGTGCAATAGGAGCAGCTGCAGTTTTGACAGTGCAGTGTGGGATTTTGACACGAAAACCGGGAGGCTCCATCCGGAGCCAGGTAGCCTCAGCTTCCCCCTGTTTCTGCGCGGGGGAGGTGCCCGGTGGTGGAGGCGGGTGTGTGGAGGGGAGGGCTGGCTTGGGAGCTCTCCGAGGCGTCAGCAGCCACCCCGCTCTCCCCACACCCCCCTGGAGCCCCTATGCCGGGGAGGGGGAGATGTCAGTGTCAAGAGGCAGCAGCAGCTTCTGATGCCAATCCCGGGGCAGGGCGCAGGCAGCGAGGGGATTGGAGTCACCGAAGCGTCAAGCGTGATCGCCCGAGGCCCCTCCTGCCTGCTGGGAAAGCCATAAAAACCCCCGGCGAGGCGCCCAGCCGCACACTGGAGAGCCGAGCCACCGGCACCAGAGCGACGCCGAGCGGAGCGCAGGGAGAGCCCGTCTAGAGCCCGCCGTGAGTACCTTGGGGCGGGCCGGGGGCTCTCACCCAGGGCCGGGGAGCGCTGCTTTGAGCCGCTCGCCCGGAGTGTCCCGGGGCGCCGCTCGCTCGGCGCGCGTCTCCCGCCAGCTTGCGGGACACCGGCTCATCTCGCCGCCAGGACGGCGCTGCTCCCCGCCTTCGCCCCGCGCCGCGCCCGCTGCTTCCCTCCTCCTGTGCGGAGCCTCAGGCCGCTTCAGGGCGACCCGGGCTCGGGGGCCGCTTCCAGCGGGGGCCGGATCAGCAGCCCCCTGGAGCGGAGGGGGATCAGCCCCTCGCGCCCCTGCCGCCCCAGGACAGCGCAGTGGCTCCGGGCTGGGGTTCCCTCCCCGCTGCCCTGCGGCTGGGAGGCGCCGCTCTCCCGCCAGCGAAGCGGCTGCAGGGGCCCGGCCGCGCGCCCTGGCCCGTCCCGCGCTGACAAGTGCAACTCCCCGGCGCCGGGACCGAGCCAGCGCGAACCTGCCGAAAGGCGGGAAAGGGGCTGGCGGGGCAGAGCCCGCCCGGCAGCAGCGGGGCCGGGGGGGGGGGTGGGTGTGGGGGGTGCCCGACACAAGGGGCCGCCGCGGGGGCTCAGCCGCCTGCCCTGCCCTTTCACGCGCCTTTCTCCCGCCTCCGGGCGCGACGCAGATGCAGGGGACCATGCGGTTGTGGCTGTCCGTGCTGCCTTTCGCCCTCTCGCTGCTGATCTGCCTGGGGACGCTGGCGGAGGCGTATCCCTCCAAACCGGACAACCCTGGCGAGGACGCGCCCGCCGAGGACATGGCCAGATACTACTCGGCACTGAGGCACTACATCAACCTCATCACGCGGCAGAGGTAGGCACCGGGCGGGGAGCCTGGCGCTCACAGACCGCTGGGGTGTGTGTGTGTGTGTGTGTGTTGGGGGGGAATCACCCGCATCTCCCCTCCAAAAACAAACCCGGGCATACGTTTGGTCCAGGCTCTGCGCCCTACTCAGCGCTCTTTCTCTGTACACAGCAAACACCTACGCGCGCTATACAAGGTGTGTGTGTGTGTGTGTCTGTCTGTGTCCAGCTCCCTTAGCATCTCTAGCTCATGAGTCCCTATACACCAGCCAGGTGAGCAGATGGTGAAGGACGGGCAAGGCTGAGATCAGGCACCAAGGTCCAGCGGTCAAGCATTCAGGGGGCCAGCCCCACATTTTAATGGGTAAATGGGGTGCCTTCTTGTTCCTCTGGGTGCCCCTTCCTACATCCCTTCCCTGCAGGTACCAGTTACCACTGCCAGCAGGGGTATGGGTACTGCAGTGTGGGAGTGGTGAGCAGGCACAACAGCAGAGAAGATACAATGCCTCAGTGGAGCTCTGAGCACTTAATGAGGCACCCAAGAAAACCAGTAATGGAGGCAGAAATGTGATAAGGGTGGATTCAATTTCTGTAGCATTCAGCCCCACCACTGTATTATGAGATGGTTCCTATTTGGATACAGCACATGGGTTGTATGTAGGATGGAGGTAAACAGTGGCCTCCAACGTGAATAACGTAAAAAAGGACTAAAAGGAGTAGTTGAGTTAGTCTGTAACTGGAAAAACTTAATAAACAATGAATAGTCTAGCAGCACCTTAAAGACTAACAAAACATGTAGATGGTGTCATGGGTTTTACTCACGAAAGCTCATGATGCGATCTACATGCTTTGTTAGTCTTTAAGGCGCTGCTAGACTATTCGCTCCTTAAGTAATAAAGGACTGGTGGAGTGGTACCAATATGGACTCTAGAAGCTGGTCTCATCCAGTCTTGTCAGATTTTAACACAAAGAGTTTTCATGGCTAGGAACAAAAAGTCATAGGATTTTATTTTATGGCGCGAACACAGGGCAGGGGGGGAAAGAGGGAAATGAAACATAAACTGATGGATAGTAAAAAAACCAGGACTATGTAGCACTTTAAAGACTAACAAGATGGTTTATTAGGTGATACAGTGTGTGAGACAGGAAGAGAAAAAAATCAGAACAATTTCACACTTCTGTTGCTGCTACTGTGTCTTATATGGTGTTTATCTAGAGTGACTGACAGCTCTTATTGTTGCTAAAGAACTGTAGTAATTCAGAAATCTTTTGTTTTGACAGCTGCTTAATACACCAATCACTTAACAAATAAATAAAAAGTGCATTGTGTCAGCAGCCAAGTCTGTCCTTCCCTAGAAAGGTTATCTAGGAATGGCTCTGACTTGTTCACGTTACTGCAGATGTGTGTGGTGAAACCTCAGATTGAAATGAAAGGTAAAATTACAATGTCAAATCCCTTTATTTGGGGGCGTCAGTCCAATTTAGTTCAGCTGGCTAATAGAAGAGAGAGCTTCCTCTGAACCATGCGTCACCCAGAAAAGCCCATGCTCTGATAATTTCTAATCTAGGTTATTGGAACCTCCTCTGCTGCAGTTTTGCTTTCCTCCCTCTAATTCACATAAAATGCAAATGCCAAAATTTTCTCTCCTTTTCCTCCTGTCTCTGTCATATCAACTGCCTCTTCCTTCACACACCTGAGCTCTACATTATTTTCCCACCTCATCTCTCATATGGCATTTCCCAAATACTATTTCTTATATCATCTGGTTTATTTATTAGACCAGTGACTCAACCTTTGCAGAATACTGTACCTTTTTCATTCTGATTTGGTTGTGTACTCCCGACTTTCATCTCACTTAAAAATTACTTGCTTACAAAATAAAACATAAGAATACATAAGAGTCACTGCACCTTAATACTGAAAAATTGCTTACTTTCTCATGTTTACCATATAATTGTAAAATAGACCATTGGAACATAAATATTGTACTTACATTTTGTCTGAATGAAATTTTAGGTTGTACTGATTTTGCTAGTGCTTTTTTATGTAGCATGTTGTAAAACTAAGCAAATATCTAGATGAATTAATATATCCCCTGGAGCACCTCTGTGTACCCATAGGGGTACAATACTCCTGCTTGAGAACCACCGCTTGAGGCTATTTCAAATATGGTTCTAGTTTTAAAAGTGACTGTGTAAAAATGGCATCATCTTAACAGATCCACTGCTTGTGTATATATTATATCCCTATTTGCTTCCTTTAGTTACAAAAATAAGATTTTACTCCTATCTCTTATACATTTAGTTATGCAAAGTCAGTATAGCAGAGGGAGAGAGGGAGATTCCATTCTGGTGTGCACGTTATAAATAGAATGGTGGCAAGTAGAGGGGAAAAATCATTTTACTTTTAAATGGAGTGCATTTGTGTTGGAGAGTCAATTGGGTAGTTGAAAGATGACAAATATGGAACCCTACAATGCCAGTTCCACAGTGGACCACACGGTAGAGGAATGGAGGTCCAGATAGGACTTAATTAAAAAGATGATGCACTGTTTCTCTTGTTCAGTGCATTAACTGAACTGAAACAATCCATGGCAACAGGATTGCATTTGGTTTTAATTTAACTCATGCACATTTTGTATTTCAGCAATTATAGACAATTGTGTGGAATAAATAAATGTCTTTCAGCTCTGACCTAGAGCCTTGAGTAATATTCAGTATATTCTAGCAGAAGTGTCAGTAATTTTCTTTCTCTCCAGCATTTATAGTTTTCTCTTACTCGTGATGAACAGCCTCACAAAAGTCAAAGATCTCCTGTGGGACCTTTATTACATTTTACTTAGTATTAGATGATGATTTTCAGGGCCTCGTTCTGATGAGCTAAGGAATGAGAGGACATAGCTACACAGCAAACTAAGCCTTTGTAGGATTTGGGCATGTGTACTTAGTTTTCAAACGAGTGTTTGAATATACACTCTGTATTGTAAATACTATGTTCACATTTGTAGCCATACTGCAAATGGTAGGGCTTGAATTTGAGTGACAGCAGAATGCAGGCTCTGGGCCACCCCATTATCCAGGGGTGGGCAAGACAGCTTCCAAGGGCCGGATCTGGCCTGCCCAGCCGGTTGATCCTGCCTGTGGCTGCCCTGCCACTCCCCCACCCTCAGGCCAATAGAAACCTGGGGATGGGAGAGCATGCAAAATCTTCTACCCCCCTCCTCCCTCCAGGTGTTCAAAACAGCTTGTGGTTCCTTCCAGGCACCGCATGCTCCTACCAGGACAGGCGCAGGGGGTGAGAGACTTTGTGTCCTCCTTCCGCCTGCAGGCCCTGATTGGCGTGCGCGTGGAGGGAGTGCGTGAAGTCTTCTCCCACTGCCAGGGATGCATGGCGCTTAGAGAGAACCACCAGCTGTTCAAAACAGGGGGGCAAAGACTTCATGTGCTCTCTCACCCCCAGGCCAATCAGGGTCTGTGGGCAGGGGAGCATGGGAAGTTTGCCGGTGCAACCTCTTCTGCCAGAGGCCCCACCACTTCAGAAATTTGTGAAGTAGCCCCCCCTTCAAAAATCATCGCCCACCCCTGCCTTGGCAGGGTTCTAGGAGCACCAAGTCCTTTCATCAGACTGATTTGTGTGTGGATGGAAGGAGGCTTTGGCTCAAACCTCAGTTAGTCTGGGCTTAGTGTGAAATGTAGACATGGCCAGAGAGACTCCATCAGGGAAGAAGAGAATTCTGGGCAAACTCATCACTTCTCACTTGACCAAGTTACCACCTCTCAGGGAGGTGGATTACCTGCACCACTAAGTGAGCCCCTCCTGTCAGCGTAGGTGTTGTCCATGCTGATTAGCGTTACAGCAGTGTCACTGCAGTGGTGCTACTGTAGCATTTCAAGTGTAGAAAAACCCTCAGCCTCACACCTTCCCCTGTGGATATGGAGCCATCATAGGCCCATACGTTTCCAGATTTTTCCCATTTAACAGCTATATCATGTGAAAAAGAGCCTTTCTTATATGAAGATTGTTTTGATAATGATAATCCATCTTGCAAAGTTCTGAGGACCCTCAATCCTTACTAGAGGTGCTGAACACTTTATAGGATTTGAATCCCAAGGCCCAATTTTTCAAAAATGGCTTTCAATGCCCAGTGCCACATACCAACGACCTGGTTGTCACAAATATCGAGTGCTCATAATTCCCCTTGACTTCAGCTGGAGTTGTGAGTTATCTGCACCTCTGAAAAGCAGGCCTCTATGTCTAAGGATATGTCCGCACTACAAGTGCTTCGGTGGAATAACTGCAGCTATGCTGCTGTTACACTGTTCTGTGATGGAAGGGTTTTCTTCTGTTATTAAATGCATCCTCAAAAAAGGCAGTAGTTAGGTTAAGAGAAGAATATTTCCATTGACCTATCTGCATCTATAGTTAGGGTGACTTAAACATGCCCTGTGCAACATAGTTTTTTTACAGCTCTGTGCTAGATGGCTAGATTGACCTAAGGGTTAGGAGTAGAGGAGGCCTCAAATTTGGCATCAAATACTACTGGCCACTTTTTGCACTTTGATATTTAAAATATTAACACTATTTGATGGCAGTGACTGTTGAAACATTTTCCACATAGCAAACAGTGGGTTGGGATACCGTCACTGAAAAATCTCTGAATTGTGCAAGAGTATTTTTTCCAAATCTATATCTTCTCTGGTGTAAATACTTTTGAAGGATTTCCTCTTTTGTGTTCAGCCCTGACTTCCAGTTCAGTTCTCTTGCCGTTATTCTATTCTGACCGTAAAAGTGCTCTTAAGCAATAGAAACTACAAAACTAAGGCGTACACCTGAGCCTTGAACATTTAACATTAGAGGAATTTGCTTTCCTGTTTAGTCCTTTTCCACCAAGGCTGATTCTTCAGTCAGCACTCCATTCCATGATGGCTTAACATTATTCAGGACATAGACATCTTCTGTACGGCAGGGCAGTACAAGGTGTTACCCATGGTCTTGGATGCAGGGAGTTTCAGGGATAGTGTCAAGTATCTCAAAATAAGAAGCCTCTTCATGAATCTCAGACATGTTTCCTCTCTTGCATGGGACCCTCCTCACTCCTTTTGCAGATAAATTTCTCATTGGAATCCGTAGGAATTTTGCCAAGCTGTGGGCTACTGAATTCAGTTTTTAATTTGTTAAATCAATTTCTTTAAAACAAATATTTTAATCAGGGAAATTAGATTCCTCTCTAGGGGGATTCCCAATCACATCCATATTAATTGAAGTAAGTAACTAGAAACAAGTTCCTTTGTGGTGATGGAGCATAATAGGTTTGATTCAGCATCATGCTTGATTGAATTACTGTAATAGCATTTCACTGTGTGTGGCTGGTTCTATTCAGATATACATTTTCAGTCAGTTTATATAACAAACATTTGCTTCCAAAATGTGAAACTGATACTTTGTCTTTCTAAAGCATAGAAAACATACTAAATTGACCAAGACAGTGCAAAAAATCCAGTCATTAATATAAAGATAGTACATCAGCCTTTTCCATATTCATATATCATGGTAAAAATACATACACCACATAAATAATGTCAAAAAGAAAAAAGAATGATTTGTTTTAAGGTTGCTCTTCTGCAATGTAGCTGAACCCATTGGAGAGACATTTTAAAGCCAACTCTCTTCAAGAGCACCAGGATTTCATCCCATTCACATAGTAATTCTTTGGCACTATAATTTTACTGTCATTTGATGTATATATTCATACATGTAATAAACCATCATCTTTATTTCTTTACAGTAAAGGAAGTGGTTTCCTGTGGTTACCATTACTATTATTAACCTAGTGATCCCAGACAGAAATGGATTACCTGTCAAGCTGACTATTCATTATTGATACTGTTTTCAGGAATAAGAAAAAGGGCACATCCCTTTACAGGAAATGGGCTTTGGGATTGTTATTTCTGGATTTTTTTTAATATGGGAATAGAAGCACAGTTGTAAAGTTTACTAGTAACAATGATCATGCCTAACAACGATTGTCATACAATAAAAAACTCTGATTCATAAAACAATATCTATGAAGACAAGAAATGACTAGTTTTGAGTTTGAGTAGCGCAAGTTTTGAGTCCCCCATTTAATACTACTTAAGGTGCCTGATTTTCTATGGGTCTAAAAATTAAAGGTGCCTGATTTTCCATGGGTCTAAACATTTTTTTGAAAATACGTCTCCCTTTAAGATATCTCATCTCATGTTACAAGTCACTTTTGAAAATCTTGGTGTATATGTACGGTAGCATAATGCAAATACGTCTTATTTTGTATTCACTATGCAGTGCAGATAGTTTTTGTAAATTTCTCAGTGAATTTCTGATGAAAATGCAGCAGTATCCAAAATTGTGCTGGAACTGAACAAAACAAACCCTTCATTGCATTCGTAGAAATGGATCATAAGCCTCATATTTCAATTTATTTCCCTTTCCCTCACTTGCATATCCTCCTGCATAGAAAGTGTGAATGTAGGATATCTGCTAATACCCACCAAAGAAAGAAATGTTAGAAATATCTGATTTCTATTATGTACATGGTAACAGGTGATTATGGAAAATATTTCTGTATGATAGGTCATAATTCTAATTATGGACATATGAGAATGTGCCACAATGGTTACAAATATTATCAAACTGGGTTCAATTAAACACTTGCTAGAGAGTTGCCTTTATTTTTGCCCTATACAATTTTACAATAAAGGTTTGTATGAACATTGCAAAGTTAGTGTCAATTTTAAGTTGGAGATATGAAAAAATAGGTAATATATTTTCATTTAATAGATATGGAAAGAGATCGAGTCCAGAGACACTGATCTCGGATCTTTTGTTAAGAGAAAGCACAGAAAATATCCCAAGATCTAGGTAAGTATAAAAGTGCTTGTGATAGCTTTTATTTCTATTTTAAATTTAGCTATTCAATAAATCATTTAGTAGGCAGAAAATATGTAAGCAGCAAAAACTGGATGTCATTTTATCTATATCTTTTTCTATATCTATCTAAACAAATAGAATAATTTTTGCATTATTAAAACAACACAAATGTCTTAGGAAAATAGGGGCTATGATACCAGATCAGATCATTGGTCCAAGTCAAGTACTGTATCTTACTTTAAACATCGGGAATCTGCTACTGCCAAAAGTAAGGGAATACTTCCCATAATGCACATACCTTATTGTGAAACTCTGAGCAGAATTCCATCTTATCTCCTAATGATGATTCAATTACATACTGAAACACGAGCCATGTTTTCCTATTAACTGTTAATTTCCTTAGTTTTACTTTTTCTCTCTGAAATACTGGGTTCTTTTAAAGTATCTTTAGGTGGAAAAATGCATGGATAGATTATATATATGGCCCTACCAAATTCATGGTCCATTTTGATCAATTTCATGGCCATAGGATTAAAAATTTAAAAAATAATAAATTTCATGATTGCAGCTATTTAAATCTGAAATTTCATAGTTTTGTAACTGTAGGAGTTCTAACCCAAAAAACAAGTTGTGGGCTAAGTACCCTCTAAGCTGTGTGGCCCTGTAACTTCTCATTAAGCCCGACATGCTGGCTTCTAAACCCAAGAGTTCAGGTATGCAGTGGGGAGAGATGCCTCTTCCCAAAGCTGGGGTGGCCAGGGAGAGAGGCACCTCTCCCTGAAACTCCACAGAGCTGCTATGGCCAGAAGAGGACAGTCCCTTCCTACTGGCCCCAGCAGGGAGCTGCCACCACTAGGGCAGCCATGTGCTGGGACTGGCAGAGAAGCGACCAGTAGCAAGCTGGGTACTAGACAGAGGAAGCTCTGTGCTCCTATTGTCTGGTTGTCAGTCAATGGGAATGGGGGTGGGGGTGCTTTCAGATGAGAGCAGCGCGTATGGTGTCCCATGGATCCTCACGCACCCCCTAGGAGCCAGACCTGTTGGCCACTTGTGAGGTGCAGCATTGTGCCCCAGGACATGCAGGCAACAGGCAGCCTGTCTTAGTGCCGCTGATCAGGAGTCATACAGGTAAGCAGTACTCCTCCCCCTCCCCACTCTGAGTCACCCCCAACCTGGAGCCCCCTCTTGCATCCCAAACCCCTCATTCCTGGGCCCACCCCAGAGCCCTCATCCCCTTCTGCACTACAGCCCACTGTCGCAACCTGCAGCCTGGAGCATGTATTCCAAAACTCTCGGCCCCATCCACTAGCCTGGAGCCTCCTCCTACATCCAAAAATCCTCATCCCCAGCTTCACTCCAGAGCCCACTCCCCCAGCCAAAGCTACACCCTCTTCTGCACCCCAAGTACCTTCCCCAGCCTGGAATTCCCTCCCACAACTGGAGTCCCTTTTAGAGATCTCACCCAAACCCGTGTGCAGAATGACTCTTGTTATGTGATATATCACGTACATATTGGTGCACATAACAGAAGTAATTCTGCATATGGACATTATAAATTAGAGAGAACGCTTGTTGGGCGGGGGGAGGGGGAGCAGGTCTTGCAAAATTATTGCGAGGGGTGGTTGCGGTATTGCTACCTTTACTTCTGGGTTATTGCTGGTGGCAGCCCTGCCTTCAACAGTGAGCAGCCACCTGCAACAGTGAAGGAAAAAGGATGGCATTTTATAGTACTCTGGTACTCTTATATCAGCACTGCTGCCTGCAGAACTTGGCACTGTCAGCAGCTGCCCAGATCAATGTTATTGCCACTCTCTTACTTCTGCACTGCTGCTGGCAGAGTCCTGCCTTTAGAGCTGGGTGCCTGGCCAACAGCTGCTACTCTTGAGCTGCCCAGGTCTGAAAGCAGTGCAGAAGGTTGGCAATACTGCGACCTCTTCCATCAAAATAACTTTGTGACCCCTGTGCAACTTCCTTTTAGATCCTCGATTTAAGAAACACTGGTCTCCCCCTGTAAAATCTGTGTAGCATAGGATAAAAGCACACAAAAGACCAGATTTCACAGGGGAAGACCAAATTTCATGGATCTTGACAAGTTTTTCGTGGCCATGGATTTGGTAAGGCCCTAATTATATACTGTGATTTTCTTTAAAATATTACTTTTATCAAGAGTTTTGTGTCTAATATTTTACAAAATGAAAAGATCACAAGTTGGTAAAATTTGTTTGGTGCCCACAAGAATATCTACATCTGAAAGCCCATGATCTGGCTATCTGATTTTACTACAACATTAAAAACAACATTGCAAGGTATCTGATTTTATTAAATGTGTTATTAGTATAATTTTAATTGCTAAGGAATGACATTATCAATGCAGAAGGCCAATATAAGATCTATGCATCACTGAAATGCCACTTAAACTTGAAATTCAGGAGAAAAACCAGAATGCTAACTGTTCAAGGAACGCTATCAGGGTTGTCAGCCTGGAGCTGCACAGATGTGGTATTACAATTCATGTCATTCCTCCATGTAATTTTTACACATAATTTTTCCCACCTCCAAAAATGCTACAATGCTTTATTCATAATAATCATTACTCACTTAAAGCTTATGAACAAAAAGAAGTAAATAAATACAATAAAGGACTGTGCACATGAAATGGAAGAAATTATAATGAAGAGATTTTAGTTTCATGGCCTCAGCAAGGTATTTTAAACAACAATAAAATTAAAACAGTCTAATTAATAAAAAATAAAAGCATTTTAAAATTAGTTCAAAAGTTTATTTATATATATATATATAAATTTCTTGCAGCCACTAAGAGATTAGATCTAGTTTCCCATGGCTATATCATCATCAGAAGGTTGCATATCATGTACCTGTTACTTCTGTTGTACCCAAAATTACTGAAGTATGAAGAAAACCCTGAATAGTATTCAGATTGTCTGAGTCACCTTGATATCACACTTTTACCAGCTATTAGAGAATCTCTATAAACGTCTTGTATTAATTGTACATATGGGGCATCTAAAGAAAGTTTCTCCCGTAGTGAAACGTTTTTACTAGATTTTTACAGAAAATATATCGAAAATAAATGTGCTGGGAAACAAAGGGAAGCAATGAGTTTAATACAAATGACTCTCTTATTAGAATGGTGCATTGTTTTCTTTTTTTGGAGCCTCTGTAAGTCATTAGAAGTCCTTACATTGTATGTGTATTGTCTTTTTTGTCTTGGTACGTTCTCCCTTTTTTGTGTCTCTGTATGCATGTAGTATAACACCAGGGTAAACAAACACTTTGGGCCCTCAGAATTTTCTTTAGCAAATATTGTAAACATCATTGCATATGGACATTATAAATTAGAGAGAACGCTTGTTGGGCGGGGGGAGGGGGAGCAGGTCTTGCAAAATTATTGCGAGGGGTGGTTGCGGTATTGCTACCTTTACTTCTGGGTTATTGCTGGTGGCAGCCCTGCCTTCAACAGTGAGCAGCCACCTGCAACAGTGAAGGAAAAAGGATGGCATTTTATAGTACTCTGGTACTCTTATATCAGCACTGCTGCCTGCAGAACTTGGCACTGTCAGCAGCTGCCCAGATCAATGTTATTGCCACTCTCTTACTTCTGCACTGCTGCTGGCAGAGTCCTGCCTTTAGAGCTGGGTGCCTGGCCAACAGCTGCTACTCTTGAGCTGCCCAGGTCTGAAAGCAGTGCAGAAGGTTGGCAATACTGCGACCTCTTCCATCAAAATAACTTTGTGACCCCTGTGCAACTTCCTTTTAGATCCTCGATTTAAGAAACACTGGTCTCCCCCTGTAAAATCTGTGTAGCATAGGATAAAAGCACACAAAAGACCAGATTTCACAGGGGAAGACCAAATTTCATGGATCTTGACAAGTTTTTCGTGGCCATGGATTTGGTAAGGCCCTAATTATATACTGTGATTTTCTTTAAAATATTACTTTTATCAAGAGTTTTGTGTCTAATATTTTACAAAATGAAAAGATCACAAGTTGGTAAAATTTGTTTGGTGCCCACAAGAATATCTACATCTGAAAGCCCATGATCTGGCTATCTGATTTTACTACAACATTAAAAACAACATTGCAAGGTATCTGATTTTATTAAATGTGTTATTAGTATAATTTTAATTGCTAAGGAATGACATTATCAATGCAGAAGGCCAATATAAGATCTATGCATCACTGAAATGCCACTTAAACTTGAAATTCAGGAGAAAAACCAGAATGCTAACTGTTCAAGGAACGCTATCAGGGTTGTCAGCCTGGAGCTGCACAGATGTGGTATTACAATTCATGTCATTCCTCCATGTAATTTTTACACATAATTTTTCCCACCTCCAAAAATGCTACAATGCTTTATTCATAATAATCATTACTCACTTAAAGCTTATGAACAAAAAGAAGTAAATAAATACAATAAAGGACTGTGCACATGAAATGGAAGAAATTATAATGAAGAGATTTTAGTTTCATGGCCTCAGCAAGGTATTTTAAACAACAATAAAATTAAAACAGTCTAATTAATAAAAAATAAAAGCATTTTAAAATTAGTTCAAAAGTTTATTTATATATATATATATAAATTTCTTGCAGCCACTAAGAGATTAGATCTAGTTTCCCATGGCTATATCATCATCAGAAGGTTGCATATCATGTACCTGTTACTTCTGTTGTACCCAAAATTACTGAAGTATGAAGAAAACCCTGAATAGTATTCAGATTGTCTGAGTCACCTTGATATCACACTTTTACCAGCTATTAGAGAATCTCTATAAACGTCTTGTATTAATTGTACATATGGGGCATCTAAAGAAAGTTTCTCCCGTAGTGAAACGTTTTTACTAGATTTTTACAGAAAATATATCGAAAATAAATGTGCTGGGAAACAAAGGGAAGCAATGAGTTTAATACAAATGACTCTCTTATTAGAATGGTGCATTGTTTTCTTTTTTTGGAGCCTCTGTAAGTCATTAGAAGTCCTTACATTGTATGTGTATTGTCTTTTTTGTCTTGGTACGTTCTCCCTTTTTTGTGTCTCTGTATGCATGTAGTATAACACCAGGGTAAACAAACACTTTGGGCCCTCAGAATTTTCTTTAGCAAATATTGTAAA